ATATATATATATATTTAAGTAGCTCTATTACATTGTTAAAAGAGTTCTTATAAATTGTCATTTTCGTTTCTTTTATTACAATAGTTATGCATCATTCTTTCCCGAAGTGTGCTTGGTAGAAAATGAGGAAACAAAGGAAAAGAAAATAAGTAGGAAAAAAGAGAAAATACATAAAATATAAAGTAAAAATAAAAATAGTTTGGTTGAAGAAAAAAGTGAAAGTTATTTTTTAATATATATATATATATATATACGAGGAGGGTTCAAACGACACCGGTGTAACTTTTACTACGTGTTACACCGCTCAATAACTTTATATTAAATGTGAATTTTGAAAATCCAACCGTTAGATTAAAAGTTCATATCTCTTAGATCATGTATGTCAAATTTTGTTAAAATTGAACAACAACTTGAAGGTAATCAAAGTGTTCATATTTTAGTATATTTTGAAATGTATATATTACGTTAATATCAATTTTATTTTATGAGAATGAAACATCAAATCATCTTAAATTAATATAAAATTTGACATACATGATCTAAGAGATATGAACTTTTAATCTAACGGTTGGATTTTCAAAATTCATATTTAATATAAAGTTATTAAGCGGTGTAACACTTAGTAAAAGTTACACCGGTGTCGTTTGAAGCTCCTCTCTCTATATATATATTATGTTGTGGCTCGTAACTTTGCATTTTTTTAAAACGATTCACGTCGTTTTCTCTGCAGTGTCCCTTTTTCTTCTCTACCAAACTCCAAATATTCAATAGTCATTATATTTTCACTAATACTGATTATATCAAGATCATTATTATTGTTATGATTTTTTTTATAAACTATTTTTTTTATCTTAATATTAATAACGCTTAACTTGAACCATAACGTGTTTCCAAGACAAGATAAAAAAAATGTAAATAAGATAATTTTTTTTTCTAAAAGATATGAACATTATTATTATTATTATTATTATTATTATTATTACTATGAATAATAAGATTACTAATACTATTATTTAAATAATTTTTCTTATTAAAATTATTAACTTTTTTTCCACATATTTGTTTCAATTTTTCAAAGTAATCAGAAGATAAAAAGAAAAACTATGATTAAATTCAGAATTTTTTTTGAATAGCTTTTCAGAAAATAATTTGTTTCCTTTTCGAAAAATTGATTTGTATTTTTAATTTATAAATGATAATTATTATATTATTTCACATCAAAATCACTTTTTTTTTTCTCTAAGTTATAACAAATTGACCTTTCAATTTAAATTGAATATGATGAATACTCTCTCTATTTCTTTTCAACTATCGTTTATTTTTCGAAAACTATTGTTCTAGTTTATATATTGCTTTCAAAGTTCAAAATAACCATTTATTATTGTTTTTTTTTGTCAATTATACCATTTTTCATTTAATTTTTAATTAATTTTTACATTTAAACTAGTATATATTTATTGCGGAATGGAAAATGAGAATAAAATAAAATAAAAAAAATTCAGTTTTTTTGGGTGAAAAAAGAAAAGAAAAAAGATTTTATGTAAAATAAGAAAAAATATTATATTTCTTAGTTTGGGTATAAAACTCAGGTAGTAAAAGAGCATTGTTAAGATTCAAATATGAGAGCATTAATTAAATTACAAGAGGAATAGGTTAGCTAGCAGGTTTGGGCCGAATAAAGCCCAGCCCACAAGAGCCACCCAAGAAACCGACTTTTGATGCGGTCTACAATATAGAGCCCATGTCTCTGCAGTCGAATAGCTTCTGAAGAAAGAGAAGATCCCAACCCAACCCTTGGCTCCATAGTAAGGTTTTCTCTACAATTTCTTTTCGCTGCTCCTTCCACATTTTTTTTTTCTTTCCCCCCTTTTTTCTGTTCCTACCGCCGCTACATAATATCTATTCACTCCATCTTCTTCTTCCCTCACTCATTTCTCTTTCGCCAGATTCGATCTTGTTTCATTTGCTTCGCGGAGCAATCTGGTAAACAAGATATTTATGTTTTTGTTTTCATGAAAATTAACCTTTTTTTCTTCTTCTAAAATTACATCTGTGAAGTAGCGAAGTCTCTTTTATTTATTATTGTTATTATTGTAATTATAATCTATATCATCAAGAATCTGGCTTTTGTTTTTGTTATTGTTTTTAATATTGTGTTAAATATTACGCGGTGTTTTCCCCTACTTGTAGTTAGTTACACGTAAATCATGATTTGTGTGTTGTAACCCGTTTCGCGAGTTTGGTAGGTTTAATTAGTGTTGGCTTATTTTTATGTTTTCATTGCAGGAGATTTAGTCTAGCAGGAAGCTGGTTTGGTGTTTCTTTCATTTCACTTTATATGAATACATAGAAGTTTTGAAGGGTTTTAGGGATTTGCATCATGTTAGGTTCTTTACCTATATTGCCTCTCCCTGCTCCTCCTGCTGATGGAAACCTAGGTCCTCTCCCCGAGTCTCAAGTGACTGAGGAGAGGACATCTAATGAGGAGCAGAACAAATCAAATTCAGCCTCTGTTCCGGCCCCTGCTACAGTTGCCACCCACACCAGAACCATTGGAATTATACATCCGCCTCCAGACATCAGGACCATTGTTGATAAAACCGCCCAGTTCGTGGCTAAAAATGGCCCAGAATTTGAAAAGAGGATTATTGCAAATAACACAGGCAATGTCAAGTTCAATTTTTTGAACTCATCAGATCCCTATCATGCATACTATCAACATAGGTTGTCTGAGTTTCGTGCTCAGAATCAGTCTTCAGGGCTGCAACTTCCTTCCCAGCCTTCAGACTCTGCTCTTCCTGAAGCAGCTCTATCTGCACCTGCTCCTGATAGTAATGGCGTAGTGGCAGCAGAAAAGCCTGATGTTTCTGCCCAGTTTAAACCTGTAAGGAAAGTCCTTGAACCCCCTGAAGCTGAACAGTATACAGTTAGGCTTCCTGAAGGAATAACAGGGGAAGAGCTGGATATTATAAAGCTTACAGCACAATTTGTGGCTCGAAATGGGAAATCATTTTTGACAGGGTTAACAAGTAGGGAAGTTAATAACCCGCAGTTTCATTTTCTGAAACCGACCCACAGCATGTTTACATTTTTCACTTCCCTTGCGGATGCATATTCAAAGGTTTTGATGCCACCAAAAGGTTTGACAGAGAAGCTGAAGAAGAGCGTGTCTGATATGACTACTGTACTTGAAAGGTGTGTGAATAGGTTGGAATGGGAGCGTTCGCAAGAGCAAGCTAGGCAAAAGGCTGAGGACGAGATAGAACAGGAAAGAATACAAATGGCTATGATTGATTGGCATGATTTTGTGGTGGTTGAAACAATAGATTTTGCTGATGACGAGGATGAAGAGTTACCTCCTCCAATGACTATTGAGGAGGTTATAAGGAGAAGCAAGATGACAGCCATGGAAGAAGATATTGTTGAGCCTGGAAAGGAGGTTGAAATGGAAATGGATGAGGAAGAGGCCCAGCTTGTTGAAGAGGGCATGAGAGCTGCTAGTTTGGAAGACCGTGATGATGGGAAGCAAACTGAAGTCAGGGTTACTGAAGACCCTGAACCACCGATGAGAATTGTCAAGAACTGGAAGAGACCAGAGGAGAGGATTAGTGCAGAAAAAGATTCAACAAAGTATGTTGTTTCTCCTATCACTGGTGAGCTAATTCCTATAAGTGAAATGTCGGAACATATGAGAATTTCTCTCATTGATCCCAAGTACAAAGAACAAAAAGAAAGGATGTTTGCCAAAATTCGAGAGACAACTTTGGCTGCGGATGATGAAATTTCAAGAAACATTGTTGGACTTGCTCGGACCCGTCCTGATATATTTGGTACTACAGAAGAAGAGGTTTCCAATGCTGTCAAGGCAGAGATTGAGAAGATAAATGACGAACAACCTAAGCAGGTTATATGGGATGGTCACACTGGTAGCATTGGGCGTACTGCAAACCAAGCCATGTCACAGAATATTGGAAATGAGGATCAAAATGATGCTTCTAATAATGAAACTAAGAACCTTCTTGGTCCTGCTGCTCCTCCTCCAAGACCTGGGATGCCTTCAGTTCGTCCTCTTCCACCACCACCTGGACTGGCACTGAACCTTCCCCGTGTTCCTGTCCAATATTCTGCTCCTCATAGTGGTGGCATTCCAATTCAGCCACCTAGGCCACCAATGCCCATGATGCCATCTGTTCGGCCTGCTCCTCCTCCTCCAATGCAGATGACTTCTGGACAGCAGTCAGTTATGGCTGGTCAACCACCTCCAATGCCTCCATCAATTCCTATGAATAACCAAGGAATTCACATACCTCCGCCGCCAGGATCTCAGTTCTCTCCTGTTCCAGTTCCTCGACCTTTTGTTCCTCTTCCTGTTCCACCATCAGTTATGCCTATGATGCATCCACCGCCTTTGCCTCAAGGAGTGCCACCCCCACCCCCACCAGAGGAGGCTCCTCCCCCACTCCCTGAAGAACCAGAACCAAAGAGACAGAAACTTGATGATTCTGCTCTGATCCCTGAAGATCAATTTCTGGCTCAACATCCTGTATGGATCAATCTAGTTATCAATTATTATTTTGTTAAATGTATATATAGCATCATATTTATCATCAGTGTTATTTTTGTTCATCCTAACTGGCATTTTGTTTTATTGGCTGCAGGGACCTGTTCGCATCAGTGTATCTGTTCCTAATGTTGACGAAGGAAATCTCAAGGGACAAGTTCTGGAAATTACAGTGCAATCTTTGTCTGAAACTGTTGGTAGTCTGAAGGAAAAAATTGCTGGGGAGATCCAGCTCCCTGCTAATAAGCAGAAATTGAGTGGAAAGCCAGGTTTTCTCAAGGATAATATGTCACTTGCCCATTACAATGTTGGTGGAGGTGAAACACTTACCCTCACCTTAAGGGAGCGTGGTGGTAGAAAGAGATAAGCATATTGCTTGCATTTCCATTCGAGAAGGTTGTTGTAATCTTTGCCTTATTGTGAGGCATATGGATTCTTATAGTATTGGTAGACTACATGATGTTATTTCATGAATTATATGTTGAATACTTTAGATTTATTGTATTGTGAGACATCTTGAAGTATTTACTGCTGTCTTGAAGACTGATGTTAATTCTGGAATACAGATTTTGGCACCTTGGCGCTTCTCTCTTGAGGGAAATGGGAAGTAGTGGAGTTCCTTTATCTAATCTGATCAATTCAAGTTATTTGCATCACTGATTATTGCTTTCTTTTGAATTCCAGTTGATTTATTTCAAAGTTACTGATTTGTTTTATAATTGAAGCTCCTTTGCTGTCAGGGACGGATCATTTACTTTTTATTTTATTTTATTTTCTGTGTACTTATAATAATCAATGTGAAGTGATGATTTAGGGTTTTTTTCCCCTTCTCTTTCCTAGTGTTTAGGCTTTGTCTTATATTGGATATGTTCGTACAAGAATTCAGTTGGACAGTTGGTTAGAAGGCGGATTGTTGCTGCGCATATGTACCTTTAACCAGTGTATCTTGTTTGGGTTTTAGTCATGAGGTTGTTTTATTTTGATTTATGTCCATAACCTAGATTATTTTTGTTCGTGGCTGGGATGGTTGTTGTTTTTGATTTTGCTGTTTTGTCCCAACAGAAATTCTACTTGGGCTTGTGGGAAGGGCTGTGCAGCTTAGCCTGATGTGTTTTTGAATGGGGACGAGGCAGGTAGAATGGTCAATAATCTTTCCTGCGTTGTTATAATCCTTATATCGAGATCTTTCAGTGTTTATTTTTAAGTTTTGTGCTGATGGCAGTTTGTGCCTGCCAATTTCATTGCAGAATGGACCAGGTTTGGTATTTTAGAGAAGGCACCGATTCTCGTGTTCATCCTTTTGGGGATATCTCATGAATCTTTCTGTTTAAGTTCATTTGCCGCAGATATTAAGATTATTTGGTTATGTTAAATCCTATTCTGCTATAGTTGATTCGACTTTTGAGCATTTATTTGATTTGCGTCTTTGTTTCTAACGTCTTTCCCTCCCAATTGACCTGAATCAACTGTTTTGTGAGATTGGTAGTTTGACTTGTTAGAAGCCATTTGCTTTGTTTGACTCTTGACAGGGTCAAAAGTACGAGATTTGTTAGGGTTATTATTATTATTATTATTATTTTTTATTTATTAGATTATTTGTGTTGCGCAAATAGACGGAACAGCAACATTGATGACTCAGAATTATGGTCTTACTATAACTTATTTTGCATCTTTTCGGTAGCCTTACCTGATCTCTCACTAAGCTAAGATTAAATTTTCGTTTGTCATATCTGGATCATAAGATGACTGTTGTTGATTATTATCGGATATTCATTTGAGAGTCGTCTACACATTTTGTCAACGAGGAACTTCAAATTCTAGCTCCTGTCAAAGGGTAAAAGTATAATTTATTGGATATTTTAACATATGAAAGATGGATAATGTAATATAAGAAATAATTTATTCAATAACATTAAGTTAAATAGACTAAATTTTGAAATAAGGTGGGAAGATTTCAATCCATTTCTTTATAACCTATGCTACCAGAGTCAGCAATAACATTAATTTTAGAGTTAATCACTTATATATTGTAAGTGTAAATTTTTTTATACTGGCAATCAATTATATTTTTTAATTGTGTTATGTTATTATTAGTAAATGTGTTTATAGTGACATGGCACAATTAAAAGATATAATTAGTTATTAGTGTAAAAAAATTTTACACTGACGGTGTATAGGTGATTAACTGTTTTATGTTACATAAATGTTTAATTAAATGCTGCATGGGCTATATGTAAGAGTTAGTATATAGAGAAGTACTGGAGATGTTAAACATAAAGAATAAGCTCGATCTGAGAATAATTTGAGATCAATTTGCTTGTCTTTATTTTTCCATCGCCTATTTGGTATAATCATTGTTATTACCTTAGCATGACTACAAAGTCAGCTGGACTCAGCCGGTCGTGAGTGGGAAATAGTTTATCCTCTCTGGGAGTTGGTCTTTCAAATTTAATTAACAAGTTTTGTTATCTCAATTTTCACATAAAACTCTTCACTCATTCATAGTTGTGGTGCTTCCTTATCTAATTATATCCATGCCATTCCACTCTGTCACTGATTTGGCATAGAAAAGCAGCCCTTAAGAATGAATAAAACAAGAGATGATGAATCTTATAAGTTAATTCCGTGTTATCATACTGTATTATAGGAGTGTTGGTCACGATGATGATCATATGACCTATCATTTAGACACTATTATAAAGAGAGTTATAAGGAAATGTTATAAGGAAATGTTTTTTCTTTAATTCTTCTAAATTTAGGGTTCTTCCTTATGAACACCAAGAACAAGAAGACTGTAACTGAAAATGCTAGAGAATTGTCTGATAGGATCCGAACCAAGTCAAATATTCTTTTCATCTTACGTGATCTTCACACTAGACTTGATTTATCCAAACTTGGTCTGTATCATCAATTTTGCAAATTGGTAGTCACTTCTCACAATGAAGAGATGTTATCAAATCAGATGAATGCATATCGCACTTTGAAAATTTGAAACGATTTGTACTTTCTAGAATTAGCCGTAACTCGCAAGTCTATTGACAAGTGTTAATACTCCATTTAATTATGATTCAAGGCAAAATGGCAGCAACAACCATTTGTTCTTAACTGTTGTAATATAAAGAGAAGTTTTCAGAAGTAACAGAACTCTTTGCATGTCTTCATTTGTTTATGGCCATTTTCCTCCTGGTTTCAATCTTTTTGAGACTTTCATATGGATATCCTTAGTTTGTTGGATTAGTGGATTGTTGTCCATTCTTAAGAGTTTATTTAAATACAAGATAAAAGTATTTTTGAGAGTTTATTTATTAGAAATAAAAAATATTCTTATTAGAGAATTCTCAAAAACACTTCTAAACTTATATTCAAATATGTTCTCAAACTCTTTTCAAGTGAAAGGATAGCTCATTATTTTGTCAAGTAGAAAGACTTTCTGGCATTCTTTTAACTAAGCTTTTTTAAGATAATGTGTCAACCTCAGTTTGGACACTTATATGTAGTGGGTAGTCAGATATTCATAGGTTTTTACAGTTTGGATTGTTTAACTTTCTATTTCGTTTAGTTTTAGATGTTTTATAAACTTTTACCTTGGACTAATTCAAGATGAATACAGCGTGCACTTTCATGTCTTTCCTAGTAATAATGTAATAACTGCAATAGAGAGTTCGTTTGAAGCCTAAGATTATTCGTTGAAATAAAGTTATAGATGGGACGTGTCATATTTTTCAATTCATTATATCAGTAGAATCTAAATGTTGTATGAATTTTGTGAGTTGTAAGCACTTTGATTGGGGCATACTATTCGCTCGGTAACGTGTCAAACAATAACATCTTCCAAACTCCAATCAAACTAGTACAGTTGCCTGATATTGGAAGCAAGACTCACTCATAATGAAGCCACCACGAAATTAAACAAAATATGCTCATCAAGTTCCGTACAGCCATTTCCTTGATTTAGTCGTAGGTTCTTTAAAATTGTTTATTTTTTATAACAAGGTAACTCAACCTACTTTGATACTTATGATTTTACATCTAACCCCTAAAATATGAACACCTGGTCTTAACACGATTCAGATAATTCAAAAGGCCACCCTCCATCAGTCTTCGTGTATTGATCCTTGCTTTGCATCCTTATATCCATATATAATGGTAGATACTCGTGATGGGGTTTATCCCCTTCCTTTCACCAAAAATAAAAATGGAAGAAACTCATGTTTCTACCGCAGGCCATGTTGGTAGAGTGTCGGGAATGTTAGACTTGACAGGAATAATGGAGGCACTGAGTGACCCTAATATCCATATCATAGGAGTGTGTTTGTGTGGTAACAATGATGATCATTTAAACACTGTTATAAGGAGGGTTAGGAGGGAAGGCTTGTTAGGTGTGACTGTGATGGTAAACATAGGGGAGAACCCCAACTTGAGAATGATTCAAGATGAAATTGCTCATCAGTTAGGTTTCACCTTTCAAACAAAACCAGAGGCCATTTCATGTTGTGCTGTCTTTGATATAAAGACCAAGAACAAGAAGGTGGTAAGCCAAAATGCTAGAGAACTGTCTCATAGGATCCGGACCGAGTCAAATGTTCTTTTCATCTTACGTGATCTTCACACAAGACTTGATTTGGCCAAACTTGGTGTGGATCACCAATTTTGCAAATTGGTACTCACTTCTCACAATGAAAAGATGTTATTAAAGCGTAACAATGTTCAGCGCACTTTCAAGCTTTGAAATTTCAGTTCTTCATATTGAAATAAAATTACTAATGAGGTGTCTAATGTCTTGTATTTCTCTCTTATTTTTGTGTAATTTGTGTTCTATGTGGATTTTGATAGACTTATTGGGTGCATCATAGATGTAGGGATAATGATGGTTGTGACTATGCTTTATGAACCATGACAATATTTGTATTCTTTAATACGATGTAAACTAAGAAAAAAATCTGTGTAAGGTGTGTGCTTTTTTTTTTTTTGGAAGTATATAGATATTCCTAACTGGAATAATTTAATTGCAATGTCTTCAAACATGAGTGAATTTGTACTATTTAGGTGAACGTCGGTAAAATTAATTTTAAATGAAATGATTTTATAAAATTATTTTTAAAGTAATATGAGTTATGTATGCTTAATCATCAAAGCAAGTTATTACTAAAATTCAACCTTTTTTTTTATCTAATGCAAAAAGCCAAAAAACTATTAAGTTACTTGGATTCAAACAATTCCGAATTCATAATCGATTCTTACATCCGAATCAAGCAAAATTACTAGAGTTCAGCCTCCCAGGAGTTGGATTAGTATATAAAAAATCTTATATTCAAACTACTGTCATTATAATTACTACAAATAGAAACTAAATACTCGTGAATTTATCTAAAATAACATCAGTATTTAGCAATTTTTTAACGTTATCTAAACTCTTAATGTGAGGACTTGGGTGTGAGCCGGCCTTGGTCTGTCCGTACTGCAGTCCAATAAGTGTGTGTTAATGCAGTAAAACTTTTCATTTAGTTTTTACTGCTATAATTAATTATGGTTGCTTGTATTAGTGGGTAAAGTTCTGCAGTAATTATGTTTACTTAGTGCAGTAGATAATATCTTGTTACGTTTCTGATTTTAGGCAAATCTACACACTTAATGATGATGGGAACATGTGTTTTACTGACAGCATTTATGGGCTCTATGTATGACTGTCATTTTTCATGTATTTGCCTTATATATGAATGAAAAACAAACAGAATAGTATGGTTGTTCAGCAAATACGAAATTGCTCTGTTCCCTAACCTTTCCTCTTCTCTGTTTTATGGTTTGTATGGTTTTTTATGTTTTATGCTTCCGCTGCCCATTGCTTGTCTTAACAGTGGTATCGAGAGCATTGTTCTTATAGGCTGTGGGTCTGAAAAAAATTGAGAGGAGAGATTAAACACTTGTGAGTGAGTGATAAAATGGCTTCGGGGAATAATGGTGTATTTGCTGTTCCTCAATTTTCTGGGGAAAACTATCACATATGGATTGTCAAAATGAGATCATGTTTGAAGTCTTTTGGCTTATGGGAGTATGTAGATCAAGATAAGGAAGTTCCACCATTGAGGGCTAATCCTACAATAGCTCAAATGAAGCAACATGAGGAGGAGACTTTGAAGAAGGAAAAAGCTGTCTCATGTTTACATTCAGCTTTGACAGATGATGTTTTTACAAGCATTATGCATTTGGAAACAGCAAAACAAATATGGGACGAGTTGAACGAAAGGTATGCCGGTGATGAACGGGTGAGATCCATCAAACTATTGACTCTTAAAAGAGAGTTTGAAATGCTGAAAATGAAGGAAAGTGAATCAGTCAAGGAGTACACTTCAAAGCTGTCTCACTTGGTGAACCAAATGAGATTGTATGGAGAGGTGGTCCATGACCACAAGGTAGTCGAAAAAATGTTGATCAGTCT